CCGTGTACTCGTCCCAACGTGTACACCCGATGGACGTAGGGACCGCGCGCACTGCCTGCCCGTGCGGTGACAGGCCATTCCCCTCCTTTGCGGAGTGGGGCGCCCCTCGGCCCCTAGCCAGGTTGTAGCTGTGGCTGACTGGTATCCATCCGCGCCTCCCGAGCTGAGGGCGCGGGTTCGACCCCCGGCCGCGGCAAACATCTTTGCTTTTTTCAAAAAATATCCCTGAACATGCCCTTTAAAGGGCTGGAGAAAGATGGAATCGCTGAAAGAGCAAAGAGGGTCGCACCGGACGGGGGTCGAACCAGGGATGGTCCGCCCCGCAGTCCGATGCGCTAACCAGTACACCAGAGAGTCGAGTGGAGAGGGGCGGCGGAGGGCCCCCACATACCCTAGGGCGCATTGCTACCTGTACAAGAACTGCCATTAGAAATAAAGCAATTTCATGGTGATAATAGCTAAAAAATGTTGTAGAAAATCTTGCTAAAGGAAAGCAACGTACTTTGCAACTTTCTAGAGGTGTTTTGCTGTCTATGCGCCTCTTTTTCAGCCAAAACAGTGTACCAAAACCCCGAATCGCCCAGAACTTGGCCGCCTTCTATCCAATCCAGCTCAAATTTTTACCATCGATGCGTACCACCAAGCCCTTGGTTTCAGGAAATTTTTAGTTGAAAACATTGCTAAATAAAAACGTTATAGCCAATAAACTGGTTTCTTCAAACGCGAGAGGGGGGTTTTGGGGGCGCTTACGCGAGGGAAAGCGTCGATGGTAGCGCCGCGGCGGTCCGTCACCCCGACGGACGCCGGCCCATCTTTCTCCAGCCCTTTAACTCGGGACTGCCACGAATTGTTTAATTAACTGAGAAGAGTGAGGGCAATCCAGATTCCGGGTTATGGTTTTCGTGAAGGTTATCGCCGGCCGTTCCGACCATAGTGACTTGAATAAGTGATATTAGATAGTATACTTCGTCCCCCCGGGGGGGGAGCCCCCACAAGGGGGGACCAGGGGGACCGCAAGGGGGGATGGTGGGGGACCCAGGGGGGGACGGTGCTGGGATGGGGAAGGGGGATCCCCCTCCCCCTCCCAAAATAAGTTATAAATCGTCATTTTCTTAAAAATCTGATAAGCGTGCAGTAATCTGCGCCCTCGAATACCCCTAAATACCTATCCACGCTTTAGGAGACTGATAGGAGCTATAGCGTGGCCCGATTTCATAAATTGGGAGGTGACTGTTGTTGATCAGCTAACATACAAAATTAGATTTTCGGAGGAATAGTATCCGGTGAAATCGTCAAAAATCCACCGTAGCCATGAAGGAGAGTCACTCAAAAACCGTTCATGGCTACGGTTTACTTTACTCCCCAGCCGGAAGTTTTGGGCTCTAAATTTTTTTATTTCACATTATTGTATGCTCAAATTAAAACTGTCAGTATATTTTTCGACGCTTTATCGAATGGCGTTGCAAAGATTCCGACAAAATAAGCGAAAATAGCGAAAACTTTGAAACCCTTCGGCTGTGGGGGGGGTAAAGTAAACTCTTACCCCGTTCATTACGCGAAAAGATTTACCAGGTGCCGGGCGTTGGTTCTGCCGAGCAGGACATCAATCGACCCGAACAGGGCCTCCGGATCGAGGGCAAGTTCCTCCAGCGGCCTGGGGAGGCCGGGGGGAGGAGCCATCTCGCGGATCGTACAGCGAGGAATGTATTTTCAGCGTTGGTTTCAATTTATGTGATGAAGCGCATGCAAATTGCCTTTAATCAAGCATCCCATGCCGGAAGGTTGTTATCGAAATCAGCATTGAAATCCAGTCCGACACGCAGGGGCGTACACAACCCCGATTTTTGGGGAGGGCAACTAGAAAATTTCTGGCGACCCCCCCCGTCGCCACTTTCAAAACATTCGAAAATCGCTGCTATAACAGCGCCGCAGGCCAATACCTTAGAAAAAAGCGTAAGCGTTCGTAAAGCTCCAGAAAAGAAAACATCACAGAAAAGGCGCCGCAGGCGACCCCTTGGAATTTGGCTCATTTCTTAGAACTTTTCTCGAAATCCCATACATTTGATAGCCCGTAGCCAAAACTGACCCCTTGATCTTCAAAAGAACCGAGCGCATTTTGACCAAATGTATGGGATTTTGGGAAAAGTTCTAAGAAATGGGCCAAATTTCAAGGGGTCGTATCTCGGCAATCCGATGTCCAATTTTGATGATCTCAACATCTATCGATATCTACTCCTCGAAAGCTATCGATTGGTGTTAAAGCTATCGCATGCAAATTGCTCTATGCAGAGATAACTCGCTAACAGGCGTTTGCGTAATTTTGCGAAAACCTTCTCGGGCTTGTATCTCGACGCCCCTCAATTTCTGCGCCAACTGAGTCCTCCCAGAATAGAGTGTTGTGAGACCTATCAATCCATATCTCATACTCCAAAATTGGAAACATCTGCGATTTTAACGAGCGATTTCAAAAATTGTGACAGAACTTATTATCCAACCTGATACTACCATCTGAACACCGAACGCGCATTAGTATTCCAGTGGTTGATAGGGCCGGAGGCAAGAGGTGGCAAACCCCTAGCTCTCCCTTCCGGGTTTAAGCCCGATGGTGTATTTACACTCTGGGAGGGTCAGGGGAGCTTTTGCTTTCGACAGGTTTCTGTTATATTTGCAAATATAGTCAGTGACATCAGCAACGTCAGCGACTTCATCCCGTGCTCGGTGATGTCCCTCATCTCCGCACGCTCGAACGCGAACTTGATCTGGTCGATGTGGCGCGCGAGATCATCCGTGTCGACGCCTGGAAAACGCATTTGAGCAAAAGCATATCGCCGGGCAATCAAGGATTTCACCGGTACAAAAATCTCTTTGAGGAGAGAGATTGTTTTTTCCAGCTTGTGCTCCTTCGGCGTTTTCGGCAGGATGTGCTTGACAAATCGCTCATGTGCTGCCTCGTCCAGTTTCTCGACAACAATTCGGCGCTTCTCATCTTCATCGAGTTGCGTCCCGTCCTTCATTACGACTTCCTCGTATCGGGACCACCACGTCTCGAACGTGGCGCCACTCTCTTCATTGAAGACAAACTTCGGCAGTCGAGCCAGTATCGAGTCCTTGAGTAAATGCATACGTGCATTTCCTCCAGCATTGAGCTGCTCTTCACCATCACCATGCATTACGGCATCCGTTGCCGGCTTGACGTCCTTTGGGCCCAGCATTGTAGCCATCTCGGTGAGCACGCCCGTCAGCTGCTCCGACTGCTTGTCCATCAGCGACTCCAGTAGTCGACTCACCGCATCAGCATCCATCATCTACAGGGTGTTCGAAAAGTTCTGGCAAAATGTTCTGGGGCCTGGAAAATCGGAGAAGCCTTGGATATTCACAAAATTTTTACACGTTATTCGTAATAGGGTGGAAAACAAGTCCCCCAAAACTAAGGTTGAGAAAACCACCTTGTTAGTTTACCAGAGGCCAAAATTGCTTCGAGAAAAGCTGACCCCGACACGCATCAGGGCCAGCCGCAACGTTGGCTCGAACTTTCTGGCAGCATAACGGTTTTGCCATCAAATCAAGATGGTGGGGAATGTAAACCAATGCCCCTGCATAAATTAGCCACAACAACTCGCTCTTTTAATCGCGATATTTATTTGGAACGCCGTCAAAACCTCTTTTAAGGGCTTGATAAAGCAATTTAAAAATTGTTTGAAATTCCGTTGGCTAAATCCCCAAATTTTTCCGCGCACCTGTGAAGTAATAGTTAGTAAAATATCGGCAGTACCTTGGCATCGCCCAGGGAATTCCTGAAGTTCTGACTAGATCGCTTTGCCAGAACTTTTCGAACACACTGTACTTCAGGCGCTTTTATGCGGGTGGTTGACTTATGGCCAATGGCTGAACTTGCTCCTCTTCCTTTTTGCGCTTCCCAGCTGCAGGTGTTCGTGGCTCCTCGTCGTCGGCCAGTTTGATGTCTCAAGTAAGGTCGACTTCAATCTTGCTCGCAAGTGTTGTATTTGCAAATATGGCGATTTACAAATACAAATACCTTGGGCCTGAAAATTTTTTTGTTGTGTTTTGATATCATTCGAAAACTGTTGGAAGCGTCGATTTGGAAATCGGAGGTGCCGTTCTCGATTTGTTTTTTACCTTAAAGGGCTGGAGAAAGATGGCCAGGCGCCCGTCGGGGTGACGGACCGACGCGACGCTGCTATCTACGGAATTCGTATTCGGAATTCGTAATTTTTATGCAAAGCGCAATTTCGGCGCAGATCAAAGCATGGTTTTACGCATGCTAGGGTATTTGAGGGCTTTTCGCCGCCTTTTTGGGGCCATGGTTTACTGGTTTGCACGCCGGGTTGCGGAGCGAACCATCGCTGGATCGACCCGGCCCGCTGCAAAATTCTTTGCTTTTTCACCAAATGCATCCTTCTCTAGCCCTTTAATTATGTTGAAACTTTATTATTTAATATGCATATTTAACAAATTAACATGCAATAATAATAGCCATCGTAAAACAATGATGAGATCAGTGTCGATAGATACAGGGAGGAGGGACAACATTCGCAGTGTTTGAGCAAACAATCAGCGTTTCCGGGACAAGACAATATGACCAGTTTCTTTCAAAAATAATATGTAACAAAAATGGAGTTAAATCGGCAAACTAATCAAATAGGTATAGAAAAATTATAGCACATGTTACGGTAGAAAAAGAGAAAATACAAAAAAAACCGCAGAGTCGAGAAAATCATCAAAATATGGATACAGACAAAAGTAGGGGAATACTGTATGGCACGAAAAGTTTATTGGAGATTTTTTAAACAGGATTGTAAGCGCTAGAATCGACCCCCGCGATCCACTAGGTCTAGACAACGACGGGACGGGCCAAATGACACTATAAAACAATGCTGAAAAAGTCATTTGGGGCGACAGGTAGCTGTCGAGACCTAGTGGGTAGAAGGGGTCGATTTTAGCACTTACCAGTCCCTTTAAAAGGCAAAAATAAGGCTCTAATCGTAGAAATTAGAGCACCGATCGACGGCATGGCGCCAATGCTGGAACGTCCGCAGCAGGGTCTCGCGCATCTTCTCATCCGGTGTAAACACGCGTTCAACTCCCACTTTTTTCGTCATCTCCTCCTCCGTCCACCAGCCTGGAAATTTTTGGTGTATTTTGTAGTGTAGCACAGTTTTGGCTTGCTTGGGTTACGGTATTAGAGCTTCTAGCAGTCGGATGTAGCCTATGCTCACCTTGAACGAGCCCGGTCATGAGTGCGACTCCCTTGCTGGCAGCCGTCCCGCCCTCCGTCACCCTCTCCACCGGCAAATTTAGGAGTGACGCCACGCACTCGCACACGAAATCGTTGTTCGCCACCCCGCCGCAGATGCTGAAATCGAGAACTTGCAATGATGCATAATTTTTTGTTCTTTTTTCCTAAAGTGTCTCTGCTAGCTGGCCTGCCCGTCAAAAAGATATTGTAAAATGACGTACCGTACTCGCGGCGGCCGTTTCATGTCGAACTCCTCGCGCATGGCGCTCCAGATTTGGTAAACGCGGAAGGAGATGGCTTCGAGGATGGCGCGAACCTGGAAAAGGAGTTGATCAAGTCTTGCCGACGTCGATTTAGCGAATCTATAAATTAACTGAATTTTCGGTTTTCATTTTGGTCAACTTTAAAAGTTTTTTGTCGAGCCCGTAATGCTCACTTCGAAGCGGAAAAGCTGCTTTGTGCCTTCGTGGCACCTTTAACCCATTTTATGATGTAAAATTCTCACCATTTGCTCCTTGGTGGTCTTCGGTCTCAACCCCAAGAACCCGCAGCACGCATTGTCGTCGTTGATTGGAGTCTGTAGTCCACCGAATGCCGGTACAAAGTACACCCCGGGGTTGTGAGTGCCCCGCGCCATCTGCGACGTCTTGGTGACGTCTTCGAAGAGGCCGGCTTGCCTGGAAAATTGGAGTGTTTTAAGTAATTATTTATTATTTGAAACATAACCTTAAATAGCGAGGGAAAATCTTTACTACAATACACCGAAAACTTACTGTGCCCAGTTGAGCAGCACCGCCGTGTCGTGATCGTTCCCCTCGGCGATGTACGTGTTCTTGCCGCCCAGCTTCCAGCCGACGAGTGGGTACGTGCCTGCAAATACGCCATACGACGAGCTCTAGCCAAAAAGCCAAAAAAATATATTCCGGAAATTGGCGTTTTTTTCGATTCCCTGAAAAACACATAATAGCTGAGATTTTTTGCCTAAAATTTGGGATGAATCGTATTTTAAATACCTTTAAGATACGGTATTTATTACCGCTTATTGCCATTTTCCAGAAATTCTAGTATTTTTGAAAGATTTCAGCTTATTTTAGCCACCTTTTTTAATTTTCTTCGCATAGAGGAAGCTAAATAATTCAGCAAATTGCATATTTTGCTGAATATTAATAGTCTAAGCAGCTTTGAAAGCGCTATTCTATGTGATAGTCTGCTCTAACGGTTGTTTTCACGGTGCGTGATCCCCAAAACCATTTAACGACCCCTCCAAAAAACACTAATTCGATTCTGCCCATTCCAATTCTCACCAAGGGTCTAAAAATATCCCGATCTGGGTGTGGACGGCCAGTCGAGTGGAGGTGGTGGGGTGGTGGGAAAATCGGGGGGACACGCCTTTTCAATTTTTTGGCTTTGATCCGACGGGAGGGTGAAGGGCAAACGGATCGGCTCTAGCCAGCTGAGAGGAGGGGGATACATCCATCCGGAGGGTGGTTGGGTGCACGTTTTCCGGGTTCCAGCACGCGTCTCGGCTAGAAAGTGCCAAAATCCACCCTGCCCTCGACTAGGTCTGGACAGCTACACGAAGCTCCCAAAGGCGCACATGCGTTGGAAAAAGTGCCAAAACATATCGTTTTCAACGTCATACAGATGTCGAGACCTAGTGGACGTTAAAGGTTGAATCAGATGCTTTCCAGTCCCTTTAAAGACACCATTTAACACAGGAGAGCTGAATCAGAATCTGCGGACCACCTAGCGAGCTTGTAGCGTTTCTTAGAGAAACCTAGAAAACTTTAGAGCATCAGGGAAGTGCCAAAATTGACCGCTGGGTCGCCTAAGTCTAAACAAGTACAGGGGCTACAAATTACGCTGATATTCGTTAAAGGGACCGGAAAGGCACCGTAGGCTATGGATCGTCAGCGTAAAAAAGGCTTTATTGGTGCTTTAAAGCCCGTCCCCCAAATTAGTTCCCTAGTCAGGTGACAGCCCCTTGGCTTGCACGCAAAGATGCGCATCACTACGCGGCACTCCAGTTGACACCCCGGGGGGGGGGGTAGGATGGGAAAAGGGCTGATTGAGAGTTCTCATCCCCAAACGGTTCCCTATCAGGTGATCTTCAAAGGCTGAAGGTCTCTCTCTCGCTCTCTCTCTCTCTCTCTCTCTCTCTCTCTCTCTCTCTCTCTCTCTCCTCTCTGGCGCTATTTTTGGATGAAGATTGAGTGCCCGTGTGCTCTATCGTCTTTGACTAGCGCCCGGAAATCTGTCGACGACAAGCTTCGAGGGTTTAGATGCACTTTTGTCTGACAAACGTCATTAAAAATCAATGAAAAACGATTAGGTCTATTGATGCGCCCAATCTCCGGTAATAGCTCTCAAAAAACGAACCCGTCATCGAAGCATGAGGAGTATTTCCGGTGTTCAAATCAACAAAAGTCCCAGTTCCGAGCGAGATCTTGACATCACCCGGTCGCGTGCCACCCACGCCATAGAGTGCTGCTTGCTGGTCGGCTAACTGAAAAAATAGGTTTATAGACGTTTATAGACACTATTTAATGATTTTTTACTGTGTGCAGCCTCTATTTATACCTTAACATTTCCTTGTAAAATTTTGAAGGGACCTGACAGCTCAAGAATCGACCCCTTCTCTGCACTAGGTCTCGACGACTACGCCCGACCAAAAGGGCCTTATCATATAATAATTATGGCTTTTTACGCCGTCCGCAACCGGAATTCATAACGTAATTGGGTGTAGGACGTCTCTGTCGAGACCTAGTTAGCTGAAAGGATCGATTCTCGAGCTTTCTGGTACCTTTAATTGGCTGGTAATTCGAATTATGGATTCCCAGCCGTTCTTGCCGCGCCGCCACACGCGACGTATACGCTTGGAATTTGATTGCGTAACTGATTACAGTACTTTTCGACCCGCCAGGGTCGCGGCGTATTGCGTGTAGCGGTGGAGGCAAATTTTTTTTTATTTTTTTATTTTTTTTTTTTTTTTTTTTTTTTTTTTTTTTTTTTTTTTTTTTTTTTTTTTTTTTTTTTTTTTTTTTTTTTTTTTTTTTTTTATATAGTAAATCATGGACCAGAGGATTTATATTACGGCCTTCAGGTGCCCTTTAATCGATGATTTCTCCAGATTACGGTAAAATGATCACTCTATAGAATTGTTAGCAAAAACTACACTCTAGAGGTGACTCCTGCCCGGAAAGGGCAATATTTTTCCGGTTTCCCCGGTTTTTCCGGGCCGTCGACCTATCAGTGGGGGTGGGGGGGGAAGGCAATTCATCTTTCGACCCTGACACACCCAAATATCTCACCCAACTCGAAAGGAAGGGCCGATGGGAATGAACACTCTAATCGAGCCATCAAAACCCCCTTTTTTGGGGGGATATCCCGCCCGGGCGGGGCAGAAATAGCGCGCGGGCGCCTCCGAAATGGGATGGGTGGGGTTGGGGAGGGGAGGTGGGATGATTGTCATCATTTTCGATGTTCTACAGGGCTACGATAGGCTACGGTCGGTTGCGGTTGCACCACACCTTGAGAGGTTAGGCCCAAGCTACGCTCACAATTGCTAAAAACGGCAGGCTACGTTAGAGTCCGCCCCAGTACGGTAGGCTATGGTAGAATACGTTAGAGTACGATATATTACGGTAGGCCCCCGAAAGAATGCGTTAGAGTACGCTATGCTATGGTGGAGTACGTTAGAGTACGGTAAGCTACGGTACGATAGAATAGTGCAACAAATGGTAGAATACGCTATAGTATGTTGGAGTACGTTGGGTACGATGTGTCGTGGAATCGTACGTAGGCTACGCAACGATCCGATAGTACCGCATTACGGGATACGTACGGATACGCTTGACTACGACAGGATGCGATCGGGTGCGCTATGATACGGTAGAGCACGCAAAGTTCGGTGGATACGGTGGCTACGATCGGGAAAACAGCTCGCCCGAATCCTCACCAGGCAATGAACGTTGATCTCACGGCCAAAGAACTTGGGCGACACCTTCAGGAAGGGGTCCTTGCGCGCCGATTCGCAGAGCGGGTTCAGGAGCTTCACCGGGAAACCGATCAACTTCAAGATGGTCAGGTTGTAGTCGGCCTAAAGAAGATGTTTTTAGTTTGATTTAGCGCTTTCAAAGTCCAAAAAACACCCAAAAGACTCCAAATTAAAACTGCTAAAAATACTTACAATGAACGGGTCGTACATTCCGGTAGAAGACGTGTTCGAGATCTCGGAGTAGACGACCTTCCCTTCAGAAAGTCGCCACAACAGCCACGCCTCGATGCAACCGTACCCGAGTCTGCCTTGTCGTTGCAGTTCCTGCGCGACCGGGTTCTGTAAAAAGAGCTCAAATGGTGTTTACTAGCCTGCCCTTTGGGTTTTCGGTTCCCCAAATCACCCTGCTAGCTTGCCCATAAAAATAAGTTTTGCATAATCATATTTTCCGCTTTTAGCTGTATCGCAAAAAGATGGTCGCCCTCAAGGCGGATCTGCTGGCCTGCCAGAACCGACTTTTCATGCAGGTTTTTCCACTATCGAACCGCGTCCTTAAGAATCGGTGCTTGCTAGCCCGCCGAAACCACCCCACCCCGCCTACCGTATCTATCGTCACCATCAGTCGATGCGAGACCAGGGCTCCAATAAATTTGAAGATCTGTGCGGCCTTGTATCTCGGTTTTCGTGTCAATTTGTAGAGGATTCCGCCTACAGCATTCATCGTCTGAAAATCTTATCGTAAAAAACCCAAAAATCATTAGTTACCTTAATCGTCCACGAATTATTCCACTCAGCGCATCTTTTACGGGCTCGCGTGTCGCTCCAGACGACAAATTTGGAGACAGGCCTCAAGGTACGCCTGGAAAAAGTGGATTACGGTACGTAAGAGTTTTCTCTTTATCTCTTCCTCTCTCTCCCCCCCCTCTCTCTCCCCTATCTCTCTCGCTCTCTATCTCTCTCTCTGGCTCCCTCTCTCTCCTCTCCGCTCTCGCCTTTTCTCTCTCTCTGCTCTCTCTCTCTCTCTCTCTATCTCTCTCTCTCGCTCTCTGTCACTCACTTGTCCCACAAAATAAACGAGTTCCGTTGACAACATATCCCCATCGACAGCCTCACCCGCTTCCCCTCGGGCAAATGACGCACTGGAACCGAAAAGTTAATAGGATACGGTAGCCACGTCACTCATTAGCGAGCCTTCATTGGCTGCATTAACTTACAGACTTCCCGGACGACCTTCGAAAACTGCTCAAACAGGCGATCGGGCTCGATTTCGACGACCATCTCATCGGTCGCACCCGCACCCACATCGCTTGACAACTGGAAGGGGATACGGTAAAGGGGGTATCGAATAGAGGAGTAGGAACTCAACCACCAAACACGGCCCAACCAAAACAAAAAACTTAAAAAGCATCGCTACGCATTTTAAAGGAGCCTAGAAGCCATGAAAATCAAAATTTTCGTGAAGTTTGTCTTCCAAGCTCCCTTAAAATTAAAAAAAAAGAAAATTTGGGTTAGATAGGCAAAGGAAAGCTGGGGAAACGGGGTTAACTGATGTTTTAAGGGGAGTAAAAACTAAAGAATCCATATCTCGTCTCAACTTGGTGTCGACCCCTAGTGGGTGGGAGGGGTCGATTCACGAAGTTTTTAGCGAATTAAAACGACAATAATTGAAAAGCCAAATAATCGACCTATCCTATCCACATTCGGGTGGGCGCGGCGCGACACGCAACCCGGCACGGCGCGCAACACGCAACGCTAAGCGCGACGCTCCGGACTACACGCCGCACGCAACGCAACACGCAAGATGGCAAACTACGTGACACGATTAATCTCAAAAATGAGGCAAACAAGCCAAGCCGCTGAAGCTAACCAAGCCCGGAAGTCGAAGCCAACGAAGCGAAACTCGAGACAAGCGGGGTTAGGCTTTTAAGCCAATTTCTGAAGCAATAACGTTGTTTTGAAGCGTAAGCGGTTTTTTTTACTAAATTCAGAATTTTTCGCCGTATTCATAAGCTTAAAAATTCACTTTGAAATATTCCGTTTTACGCCTAAAAACGAAGTGACAGGGGTTAGTGCAGAAGCCACAACGACGATGTTTTGACAACAAGAAGACGAAGCGAATTCGTGGGGTCTTACATGGGGTTTGGGGCGGAATAGGCGTGAGGGGAATGGTGAACATGAGGTTGTTGTAGCTGTTTCATCATCATCTGATGATGACGATCCTTTCTTATGCAGGGATGACCCGCGAAATGATCCCCCACGCACCGCTTGCTGTGTCCGCGGGTCCAGTCGGCTGATTTCCATCTGAAAACCACATTAAAAATCCGTTTTTATTACGAAATTGAAGCTAATAACGTAAATTTTAAATTGTCGAAAATTCATATTTGCACAAAAATAAAATCCTTAGTTTAGGTTACTGTTCATAAATAATTTACAAACGATTATTTTTAATCGAAACCTGCGATAAACTATCGTAAAAATTTGCTAAAATTAAAACTAATACAATTAATAAAAAAATATATTGTCCGAAATTTTCGGATTATACTAAAAATCCGCTGGCTTGCTAATTTGCAATCCAGTTACAGTACCCCCTAATCCGCCCACATTAGCTGAATTTCACGCAAAAATGCAAAATTTTCTGGCAGGTTGGTTTTATATATCACGCTACACCTACCGTAGCCTGTCATGTGCCTTTAAATAAAAATTGGAAGCTAACTAGGATACAATCCCCTAAACATCACCATTTCTACCGTAACCCGGACCCAGTTTTTCACAGGATAAATTTTTTTTTTTGGTTTCCTAACCCATGCCCCACCTACCGTATCCTGTGCGGTGGCCAGTAGTGAGCACTGTCCATCGTAGAGACATGCCCGTATCGTTGTCGTCCCGATATCGACGGCTATCACAAAATTCTCCTCCATCATTTTGGATTTTTCTGAAAAAATAATGGGCTATTTTCCGTGAGGATCCTCTTGACACGGTCAGAACATGAGGAAGAAATGCAAGAGAGAAAGAGAGAGCAGAGAGAGAGAGAGAGAGAGAGAGGGAGCAAGGAAAATATCGGTAAACAGAAACAACCCAAAAATAGGGGGTGACCAACTCGAGGTTTGGGACTTTTAGATCGAGGCGTGTTTACCCGGGGTTTGGGTAGGGCGAGAGAGCGAGAGAGAGAGAGAGAGAGAGATGGAGAGAGAAAGCGATTAGTCGAGTGCTGGGGGAGCTGTACAGAGGATTGTACCGTAGTCACACCACCGACTAGTTAGTCACAAAGCTGAAGTTGACACAAAATTTGTGATTTTTCAGCGTGCCACGGTATTGCGTAACTTAAACCTTACAAGGTATCTAAATTGACAATAATTACTACCGTAATCGATTGCGTTGGAAAATCGACTTTAATGGCGAACCAACCTTTTTCATATTGTTAAATTCTTAGCCATTAATGCGACCAAATATCGAAGTGGTAAGGCTATGGATTAGATAAGACATTTTCTAAGGATACATTAATAGAAATTCTGATCAAATATGCAATCGCAGAAAATTCCACAAAAAAATTAAAGGTTTTTCCATTTTTTTAACAAAACCAAGCTTTTTAGGAGAGTCAACAATAAAAATTTAGCGTTTTTCAAGATCTGGTAAAATCTAAAATCTGTAAAACTCAAAAAGTGACAATTACTACCGCACCCCCGGTACCGAACGCTACGTTACCAAACATCCCCCCATTAACACCACGGGACCGCTGAATCAGAACACAAAGTGGGCTAATCCCCGGAACTTTTTGGGGGGTCCCACCCCGAGTCTGACTACCGTAATCCCATAATAATCCGGTTGTGTACAGCCACGATGCCGATCTGTGGCTCTGATTTTCGCCACCAAGAATAATGTTCCGAGTTTTTTGAAGAGAGAAAAGAAAGAGAGAGAGAGATAGAAAAATAGAAAGAAAGAGAGTGAGAGAGAGAGTGAGAGGGAGGGCGCGTGAGAGGGGGAAAGACAGATAAATTTGTTTTTGCGCTTGGTCACCGCCAGCTGATTCATTTGGAATCCCGGGAATTGAGAAGGCTAGAGTCTGGCCAGGGGATTAGAAAGGGATACGGTAGCTTGGGACGCGGAATAGCTAAACGTAGAATAAAGGGGAGAATTTAGGTAATTGGGCGATTTTTGCAAAATAAAAAGGATTTTGCGCTGCGGTAGGTTACGGTAGTTTGAGAGGGAAATGAAACAAATTGGACAATTTGGCTGATTCTGCTAGTTCGCATAGAGACTTAAAGCTGCTAGTGGTACGGTAGACTACGCTAGGGTACCGTACCTTACTATACGATAGGCTAGAATACGGCATATACATCATACAAATTACAAAAGTGAAAACTATCAGGATTTGTTCTAGAAACCGACGACGCGCCAATCCCTTTTTACGATTTTAAAGGGGCCGGGAAGCTATTCATATAATTTTTAAGTCAAATCTTTTGAGTTTACAAAAATTACCATAAAGGAGGCTCCATTTTCGCCTTCTCAGCCCCTTTAAAATGCGCAAAAACGAGTCAGTCGAAGTGCGCCCGACATCCGGGTACACCGTGCTGTCCAATGTTCACCACCACCACCCTCCCCCAAAAATATCCTTGCCGTATCCCGGATCCCCGTAAAGAGGAGCACCTCGGAATGGATGGGTGTGCAGAGGAATGGCGCGGAATTAGAGAGGGGTTGAGTTGAAAAGTGGTGATTGCCTCTTATAGCAATCTGGCGAGGCTATTTTCCGAAGCCCCGCCCCCTTTTTGAGCCCTTGGTACAGAGAATCTAGTCTATAGTTTATGCGCCTCTTGCTCCTCTCTCCTCTCATGCTCCCTGGCTGCGAAAAGTAGAGTGTATCTGGGCGGGGGCGATGTGAGATATCAATGACCGGCCGTCGGCGCGGGGGATATCTGTGCAATTTTTTGGGGAGCTGGATCTTTAAAGGAGCACGACTATCCATCAGAGGAGAGAGAGAGGAGAGAGAGAGAGAGAGAGAGAGAACGAGCGAAGAGAGTCTATTTTCGGAGATTTTTGCAGGGATTTTTAAGGTGTTCAAAATTTATCGAATATTGCGTTCTATACCGTGCCCCAGAATACCGTAATCCCTAAGTTTAAAGGCATTGAAGCGACTAATGGCGGATTTAACGGTTTTTCAACAAATTTTTGATTAGCTGATTTTTAGCTTCCTAAAATTCCTTTTTGAATTGATCAAAATGAATTTTAAAGGGATCTGGCCTCCTGAGAAATGTAGCAAAATACCGTATTTTCGCAATTTCCGGATTTTGTATTTTTCGTAGCAGTTAAAAGTTTTGGTAGCCGTTAAAGATGAGCAACAAGATTTACATGGTTATTTCGAAGATTTTAAAGCTAGTTTTCGATTTTAACCGTTATCCATATATTCCCGACTTTCCAGTAACTTTACTCCTATAAAGATGGAAGCGAAACCGTTAAAATAGCGATATTTTTGATCAGACGACCCTCTCTGCTAATCGTCAAAAATTGCAATCCGCCGGAACCCCGGCCCCACCCCAGGAATACACGTAAATACGAGCGATCGGAAAGTGGATCTTTATGGACCCCGTACCCCGAACGGTGAGCCCCCGAAAAGAGGCGGTAAATACCAAAATATTTGTTGCTGAGCGAAAATGCATTCGTAGCGACCCCCGAGTGATTTGTGCCATTTTGCGGATGCAGATCTTTAAAGGGGGGACACAAACAGTCAGAAAAAGATGGAGACAAAGAAAATATTTTTGCAGCATTTGAGAGAAAATAGACGGTGGTGGATTGTGAAATCGGGGGGACAAGGAGGAGGAGGTGGAACCTTGGATGGAGGGTGTTGGGGGGGGGGAGATGATTAGGGCGTGACCGGAGGGTACGGTAGCTAGAAAGAGGGGCGCTATTTAGGGAAACGGCGAGAGAGCGAAAGAGAGAGAGAAAGATAGCGGCAGAGAGGGAGATAGAGAGTGAGGGTGAGAGAGAGAGTGACAGGGAGAGAGAGTGAGAGAGAGCTAGAGAGAGAGAGATAAGTATCGTCTTTAATTGAACCTTTTGATAGATGGAGCAAAAACGCGTATTGAAAGATACGCAGGTGACAAAAGCAGTGCCTGGGAAACTCCCCAGACCCAGTACGTCAGCATGGCATGATGCGGAGCGTGGGAATCTTTTGGAATAACCGGAATGAGCCGATAAAACAGTTCTTCGCGTTTAAAACCCCTTTTTGTGGATTTAACAGATTTGGCCTAACAGCTACGGCATAAGTTGGTGGTGAGGTGAACGTAAAACCAAAAATAAAAACAAAGTTATTTTCCATTTTAAATCGTGATTTTTACGTTTTTAGGCCGATTGAGATTATGGCTCGAAATATACTAAAAAAACGGGAAGCGCTAACATATAAATATAAAATAAAGAGATTCATTTATTTAAAGCTTTTTCATAATCAAGGTTTAACCGATTACGTTATGAAATTCGGGAAATGAAAATACAAAATATCTACCATAGTGCCAGGCCTAAATTGTAAAGTGTTTTAATCAGTACAGTCTAGTGGCCAGTGTGGGTGCTTGCGGGGTTTATTTTTGCCGTCTTCTCCTTCTCGTTTCTCCAATTTGAGTCGGGGGCGCCGCCCCGGCTGACTAATAGAACAGAAAAATGGCTGGTACACCCCGATCTACGATGTCAGTTTTGATGCGGCATAGTTCGGGGGAAAAGGTCCGTTTATACAGCTATGCAAACCCCGCTAAATTTGCTTGCATGTACACGCCATCGGGGAAAATTATCAAGTTTTGAAAATGCACATTTTTTGCACAAAAACCTTATTTTAGCTATTTAAAACCTACAAAAAACAAAAGCTCAAGTTTGAAAAATTACAGTAGAAAAGAAAAAATAGCAAAAGAAAATAAATTAAAACAAATAAACTAAATTAATTTATTACTTTAATTTAGCTAATTTAATCAATTCAATCAATTAAGATACAATTTAAATATCAACGGGACAAAAAATCGCTTAAAATTTTGATTTTTTAAAAGATCGAATTTTTGCGGACGGAAAGTTCGGGAACAGGAAGCGTTTTCTTGGCCTTTTTGGGGCTAGCCGTTATCTAGGGGGGTTGGATGGCCCCACATTGGCAACTACACCCCTAATACGGCTTAAGCTTTTGAACTTGAGATTGGTGATGAGAGGCACAGGAAATGATGCAATGACGAGCGTCCAGTTTGCGGAGTTTCGCGGAATTTCGGGAATTTGACGGAAAAAGGCGATTTTTTTTGGTGGCGATTACGACAGCCAAAAAAGGCATTCGGAATTGATTGCGACATCAAAACAAGCGGCAAATTCTCGGAATTTTAAGAGTAATTGAGAAAATCGTAGCTTGAAATTTCCTTAAAAACTATAGAAAATGATATTTACAACCAATTACGACATGAAAATGGCGGAAAAAACTTACCTAAATTGTGGACGTTTAAAGGAGCACGACGGGCAAAAGCCGATATGGGCTCTTTTCGCCTTTTTAAAGAACAGCTCAAGACAAAAATCCACGAAAGTTTTTGAACTGTTTAAAGGGCCATTGTAGGCAACTTCCATGGAAATTTTAAGCGGTTTTTGCCTGACTTCAGGAACAACCTAAAGACAATCTACCACGTTTTAAGGGACCATTTAAGGCAAAATGCATGGAGGCTCTTCAGAATTTAAAAGACATAACAACTGTCACTGAAAACGGTCTGCGAAAAGTGCACGTCGCACCCGGCTTCTAGGAGGATCAAAGAACGGAGTCAAGACGACACTGATAAACCGCCGCGATCACTTATGCAAATGTGGCAGAGAAAGAGAGAGAGAGAGAGTGAGAGAGAGAGCGAGAGATGAGCGAAGCAGAGCCAAATCGCCCGGCGTACATTCTGCGGACTTCCTCCCTCTCCGCCCCCCCCCCCCC